TGCACCACGTGGAGGTAAGTCTATCGCACACCCCGGTTTATTAAATATAAGAACCACACAACTTTGAAGTTCCCCTTTACTAAACTACCCAAAATCACATACTTCCACACGATGTAATCCTACTAACTGCCAAAATTCACATACTACATGCACATCAAACTAAATGTGCCTCAGATTAAATATTTCACCGGACGTGACATATCGCAGAAAATTTTTATCGGAATGGCGTCGACGATAAACCAAAGAGCAGGCCAAGACTGTATACGGAAGTTTACAATGAAAGTGTACCTTGTATACCTTTCGTACATTACGAGTCAATAGACAGACAAAAGAGAATTTGTAATAGCACTAATTTCTGAGTCAATTCTGTAACTAGCAAAATGCCTGCCATTTGATATAAATAAATCTTTAATAAATACTTCACACGACTACCTCTCTCCTAACCGTTTCAATATCATCCAGCTGTATAGAAGACAAGAGATTTAGGGAGGAATTAACTTGGAAATCTCCCTATTCAAGGTCAATAGAACAAAGTGGTCGAACATTTGAATGTCCATATATGCATGGGTAGACTCAAATATAATACCGAGGAACGTTTGGCAAGAGGGAATTTTGAAAGTGAACCACTTAAAAGTACAAGAGTGGGAACCAAAGAAAACTAAATGGAAGATAGATGAGAGGCCAATTCTAGACGAGAGAAGACAATGAAAAAGCATTGGAAGTAGACCTGGTTCTAGGCAGCGCGAATTAATTTGAGAGACGGACCTCAAATCTCTACCACAAGCATATATCCATCCTCTGACGCCCTTTACAAATAAATGATACCTTTCTTCAATCAAATGAACGACAGTCTCGGACATTGCAGATTAAATTTTGAGCAAACTAATTCCCAAACTCATTAAGATATACTTCTTCCGACACTCGAATATAAGAAAAACCTTCAAATACGTCGACTAAAGAAATTAATCAATTAATAATATCGAACTTGTGACCTTCGACTCGACAGATTGCTAACCCGATGAAATAATCAATTGGAATGCTTAACATACGTCAACAAAGGGATGACTAAGTGAGAATTTTAAGAATGAGGGCATATAAACCAAATAAACATTTAGCAAATGACTTAAAAGTATATTTACAATAATTAGCGAGTCTAGATTAATTACTTGGAAGAATACAAAGGAATTCCATTAGAATCATTGACGAGCCAAAACTTGATCCAAGCTATCGCAACATCCACGTTTCTCTCCTAAAAATAAATAAATAGAAATGTGAATGTCATGTGTACGTGACCATATTGTCATACTTCAAAATTTTCTTTCTACTTAAATAAATCAAGTAACGTACCAAGTAAACCAGTTTCAAGAGGTCAGTAAGTTGATCAGAGGGGACGTTCGATTTGAAAACGTATAAAGCTATAAGGTCCTTGAATAACGAAGAGGAAACCGACATTAAAGTATCATCTGACAAAGTACAATACAAATGTTGAGAAGTCGCCGAAATATCCCGAAAAACCTCTTCAGTAATTCGATTAACGGATAGATTCTTGGAGTCTTGTAGCTCGTTGACAAAACACCGCAGTGTGGTAAACATGTAAGATGCTAAAAACTGAGCTCCGATATTTGCACTGTGAGAACAACTAGAGTAAACATGAAATAGAAATTCCAGGGAGACGGAAAAGTAATCCATATGGTTAACAATCAACGCCTCGATAGCAAGCCAATAAGCAACTCTCGTCAAGTTTACAAGAAGTGCTCGAGCCAATGAGTTTGGGAGATCATTTACGCGTAAAATTAGTAGATTCTCCTCCAACGTACTATTTATCCTGGTAAATTCGGACCTTTTGCATAGTTTATGGGGATCTATTTGGAGGGTACAATCGATAAGTGGTGGAGAGAGAAGAGTTAACAAGTGTGGAAAAGTGTTATCAGTCTAAATCAATTAAAGCATAGACAAGAAAAGGATAATAATACCGATATTCTGCAGGCCAGCAATTGAAGAGCAGGGAAATGAATATCGGAGGAAGAAATCGCGCCATCAGTCAAACTTAGAGCAACAATGACACTTGGATCAAGACCCGCAACCTTTGAACATTCCTAAAAATGAAATTTAAATCAAATTCGAGTTACCGAAAGTTTATCAATTAAATAATCTGAAATTGACTGCGGAGTTTGATCGATCGAAATTGTACAAAGAGCTTCTATTAGTGGCTTCGTATGTTGTACAAGACGGAACTTTAAACCTAAAAGGTTAAAAATTTAGGTAACAGATAGACAACCTTTAGGCAGATTAGGCCACATTGAAACCAGAAGAACGAAGTTATTCTTGATCCACTCATTAGTCTACACAGTGTAAATAGGAAACGGGAACAAACCATATTTGACCAGGTTTGCATGACGGTCCCAATATCCACAGAGAATATATGTAGAGGCGACACATCCATGACACTTAACAATGTGGTCTATCTGGGAAACACGGAATAGAAAAATATTTTGCAGATATCACTATTGTCATGACCTTTTCCAAGATTAAATCCAATAGGGAAAAAGGCGTATGTAATGTCATAAAATGATGTACGCATGCATCTAGTTAAGCATAGTTTCAAAGATGTTATTTGAAACGTTAAATCAAGGTTCAAAGGATGAAGACTAAAAAAGTAGTAACTAAATTGACGAATTAAAATTATTGATAAAATTAGCTATATATGCAGGAACACAATCATAGTATAAAATATAAGACTAATATAAATATAAATGAATACATTTATTTTGCAAAAAACCAACACGATAACAAGTAACCTTGAGGTACAAATTAAAAAAACTCCGAAACTTTATTACTTCAGATAGTCGAAACAAACTATGTTCCCGATATTACTAAAATAAACTACTTTATAAGATTAAAAATAATTAAATATTTAAACTTTGAATGTCTTGTTTATACTTCCTCTTTTATTATCTTTATTAATTTTGCACCGTACAACCAGTTAATACTCACATTGAGGTTATATGAGTATAAAGTGCCTTTGTTATGTTTTAGAAAGTAAGTAGTGTCATGATGGAATGGAGTTTGTTCATTCTGCAAATGATCCTTCCCTACTGGTAAATGTCATACATTGGAAACACCAAGGATTGCGCTCCAGGAGAAGATGGCACTGAACCAAAGTAATGTCAAAGACTTATGGAGTTTTTAATTAATTTATTTTCCTACTTATAAGTCTTAATAATTCACTTCAGTTCATCCATTGATGATCATTGTGGAAAATGATAGCCCTTTTCTATATATATTCTCAAAATTTTAAATTCATTTCATAGAAACTGATCTGCTATCTATTTATACATTTCTGAACTTCCCATTGAGTATCCTGAAATAATTATACAGAATATCGAACGAGGAATTAGTGTGCAAGACGATCACTGCATTTTCGCACATTTACGAGGGTTACCCATTCTAAAGTCAGTAGACCCCAGGGGAAGAATTGACGCTAAGAATTTTCGATTTATAGTGAATAAGATTTAAAATAATCTAACAGTTAAATATTCAGAGGTATAATGAAATCGAGAACTTTGTTCATTTCTCCACATCGGTAGCGTCCTTCCAACAGACAGAAACTTATAAAGAGGGGATTTCCGTATATTTTATGCATGATTTAGTCTCGAATAAATTTAATAAAAAATGAGTATAAACCTCGTTTCCTGTGCAACTAAATAGCTCAACAAACTTTCAGAAAATATCCCAAACTTCATAGGATTTATACTACCCGGGAAATTAAGGGCATCTCTTGTGAATAGTCAGACAATATGGCTTTTAATTCGATTGCACTTGAGTTCTGCCTTATTCGTAATCAAAAGCCGTGAGGCCATTTCAACAGATTTAGTTAAGGTCATCATACTGGCCTTCAAGAAAATCAGGGCTGCACAAACCACCTACTGATGCACGCTAACCAAGAGGAAATCGATGCCTGACATTTCACGCTCGTTCAGGCAAATACACACAGTGGTACAAACATACACGGGCGCACACACGCACCTACCTGTCCCTAATACTTCCCACATTCGGCCACCTAGCACACAGAATAGCGAGCCCACAGATTTGCCCACAACTGCCCAGTGGTGCCCAATTTTCTTTTAATCCCAACAAAAATGATGTTTACGAGATCGGGAGTTATTCTCCCCATTCTGTTTGGCCTCCTCACTCTGAGCCTCCCCGTGTTCTCGAAACTTGATCGTAAAGAGACACCGTTAGATGTCTGTGCACCTTGCGATGAATCAAAGTGTCCACCAGTAACTATGTGTCCAGTTGGTGAAGTGAAAGACTACTGTGGATGCTGTTCCGTCTGTGGTCTTGAACAAGGACATCGATGCAATACAAGGCAAGAGCTACAGGATATATTCTCCGGAAAGAGGCGACATGGCTACTATGGGGCTTGTGGAAGACACTTGGAGTGTCAACCACGAACAGATATCGATGAAAAGTCGGAGGTAGAGAATATCTGTGTCTGCGTCAAGCCTGGCAGATTCTGCGCAAGTAATGGAGAGACATATTCAGCTTGTGAACTCGAAGCTGTTCAGGCTAAATCGTTCGGTGAGATCTTCCTCATCTCCTATGATGACTGCAAATCTGGTGAGCAATTTATTAACTTCGAAAACCTCAAAAATAAGTTTTCTAGGAAGAAATAGATGATAATTTTCATATGTTGTTTTACTGAATTTAAGTTTTCCAAAGCAACGCTCTAATTGGTGTCGGTACAATTTTGAGCAGAAATCCTCCTATTTATGTAAAGTTATGAATTGATTATTTACTTTAACATTGCTAATTTGAATAAAAAATCTAGTTTATCATAATATTTCAGGTTTAAATTTTTAATTTGCGAATAAGTAAGCCCGAAGTCAACTAAATGGCAAATGATAGCTATCAAAACACCTGCCATTTG